TGAAAAGAATGGTTTTCCACATTACTTGAAATGTAAATATAAGCCACAAACTATATACACTAACGCAGTGGAAAAAACCTATCACTACTATACTTGGCCACACATATATTTTCTCATGTTCTTTTTTCGAAGAATTTTTCTCATATACATTAACTGCTTCCCCGGATAAACTTTTAGCACCCATTGTAACACCTTGTATATACCAAAACTTATTGAGGTTTCGGTGGTACTGACACAATTTTTCAATTGTAAAATAAATATTCGTACTAATTTAATGTGATAATAGTATCAATAAATTAAAAAACTACTTGATTTGAACACAACAACAGATACACAAAAAAAAATATTCACTTCCATGAATTGTGTTGTGCTTTGTTTCAATAATACACCACTTTTATTGAATTCTTTATTCAATTGTCATGTAAATATCTGAAACTCATATAAAAACATTTATATGGAATTATTTGTTGAAAGTTGGCACTGATTGCTTTATATTGCCGTCACAAATATTTTTATTTCCAGCTGAACCTGAAAAAGATCGTGAATTTAAGTTCAATTTGTATTTATTTAAATTTCACAATAGCCATTTTGGATGAATATATTATGAGCATATTTTAAAAATAATATATCATAAGACGATTGCCTTTTCGCTCTTCTGAGATAACTATTACTTTGCCTCAGATGTATAGTAGTAAATCCAATATTCAACATCATTAAATAACCGGGAAACTCTTTTGTATAGCATCAAGAAGTGAAATGTTGCTGACGCACTAGCTCCCCAAACAGTATTCACGCTTTGGTCTAATTTAAATCTTATATGTCAACAGGCCAGAGAAGCAGTATTTTATTTACCTTAACAGAGTAATTATGTTTGTCAATAAGAAGCATTTAATTTTTTTACTGAGGTTTTGTAGTAGAATATGGAGGAATATTGTTTAATACAAAGGCGTAACTGATCAAAAGCTTTCCAGATGTCAAGAGCCATAATTTGTGTTTTTAATGATACTGGATAGAAATTATCCAAATATGAGTAACAAAATTTAGGACCTCTATAGGTCCATATTTGTTAGGCATAGATTATTTTGAAAGAATTGCTCTGGTTAAACCTTTTGATATACTTGTTGAATAAGTTTTCCGTTAGAAGAAGTAATTGGAAACCGGGGTAACATTACTTAAACCTTTTTACCTTTTGATGTATACCTGTCACAGCACTTTGCGCCAATATTCAGGTTAGATGGTGTGTACTTAGACATAGAAGGAGCGTTTGACAACATGACACACGAATCTGTCAAAAGAACATTCGCGTATAGAAGAGTAGATGTCATCACATCCAGATAGATGACTCAGCTGCTATCTACGACAACTGCAGACACAGATAGGGCAGTACACGATCTCCATCTGCACAACTAGAGGAGTTCTATCCCCACTTATGTGGAGCCTAACCATACCTAGCCATAACCTGTCAAGATCATGCCAACGACATAGTTAGATTTGCTAGAGGCAAGTTAGGAAATATACTGTGTAATATAATCCAAGAGTAGTAGAATACATCAAAAGATGGTGCCACGAGGTGGGACTGTCAAGGAAAAGAAATCTCAATTTCAAAACCGTCAAATTAGACGGAATAGATATAAAATGGAAAAAAGAAGTGAAATATCTAGGCCGAACCCTGGACAACAAATTTCTCTGGAACATACATGAGAAAGAAGTAGTAAATAAGGTCACAAAAGCCCTAATGGTATGCAGAAAAATTGCGGGTAAAAGATGGAGATTTAAACACACTGTGATGGATGTATACAGCAATAGTGAGACCAATCATCACTTATGGGAGTAACAACTAGTTTAGCTACTACGAGACCTAATATCTCAAAAGTACAAAGACTAGCCCGGTGTTTGCATCACCGGTGCAATGAGAACCTATGCAGCGGCCGCAAGGGTGATGATTTTAAATCTCACCCCTCCACATTTAATGATAGAGAACGTGGAAGAAGTACATGATATAGAATGATCGGAAACGGAGTAATCAGACGAAATTTTATTATCAGGACCGAAAAATCTTGGGATATGCCCCAGGACAAAATGTGAAATAAGTACAGTTTTGTGAAAAACTTCAGAACCCCCTGCGGTAACACAATATTAGGAGAGATTAAAAAGAATTGGGCAGTAGAAGAACCGATAATTGGAATAATCTCTTGGGTTGAGATAGGCTAAGATATTGCCAGGAAAGATCGGAAGATGTATCTGCCTGATCAATAACAGGCTACGCATTGTAACAGAGATATTTACCAGGCATTGCCGACTCAAAGGATACATTGGTAAAATGAGTACATAGTGAGTAAAAGGACAAAACCTCCATTCTGATTCTGACTGAATGTGTAGCACTCCAAAAACTAAGAGTACTATACTTAAGAGCATACCAAATAGATCTATCTAACTTGAAGCTACTCCAATACCTACCCTTTCTTGAGAAAGATTGGAAGGGTCGTTATTAACATTGAGACTATTTTCTTGCTACATTAACGACAGACAGGGACACAATATATTTTTAAGGTCACAGTGCATTAATACCTCATACCCAACATAACATATGTGGTATGTAAATATTTAGATCGAATTTACCTTATCTCACTCATTTTCACCGTAAAATGGTTGCGCTCCGGGGCGATTTACTAATGATGAATTATGAGGAAACCCCGGAAAGCGCCACCTATTATCAATGACATGGTAACCCACTGTGACTGATATCTAGATTTTGTATCAACAGAAAATTAAATTACTGCTTAAACCACCCCTCAAATTTTACAACGAACGACACACCACGGCAAATGTTAAACAAATTTTAATGCCGAGCTCCTTTGAAGTATCTTTTCATTACAGTAAGATACATAAATGTGTGTATTATTAGTTTATCGATGATTATTTTATATTTTGTTATCGTTAGTATTAGATTAAGTTGCTGCGCAAATTTATACAAGTCTCAGGTAAATATGATGGTCCACTACAGGACAAATATTTGGAACACTTAAGATATGAGTCAAAGGCGATGAATGATGAATCCAAGAATTAGTCCAGAGAACACAAAATATTGAAAGGAAAAGCTGTGGAGAATTTGCCACAAGCTTAGGTATTTGGAATCTATCTTACAAAAAAAATAATGAAATATGATTTTGTTAAAAGCCAAAAAATTGGACATTAAATTCTAAGCTTTTTTATTTCAATTGAACTTGCTCGAATGTGATAGAGATAAATATATATTAGGTATATTCACAAACAGTATTTACAAGTTAAGGGATTTGATGTTGAATTAACACAAGTTTTAGTGTACAAATAAATTAGCAGCAGAATAGTTGCAATAATAGTGAAAGATCAGCAATAAAAAAATAAGTTGAACGAACTAAATATTTATGTTGAAATATATAAACACTGTCTACTATTAAATAACAATTATTAAATAATAAATTTAACACGTATATTATGAGTCGATTTTAAAATTTAAATTGTATGTTATTTATGATATACTTTTACTTAACAACAAACCTACCTCAAGGGTAGTTACTATTTAACTTCTTTCATATAATAAATACTATTCAAGATTTTTGTCCGGTCTGTTCAAGGTCAAACTAAATTATCGTTATCCACATATCAATATTAACAGTGTACCATCATGTTTTTTAAAATGCCGGTTGCAGGAACCTTCATTAAAATTTAGTAGCCTGATAAATTTTGACAGATGTTTAAACTGTGAATAATTTGAAGTTCATGTCATTTAGACACAGGTACACCACGATCTCAAGCTCTGGCAGTTTATCAGGCTCATAAATTTTAATGATCGTTTTTGTAACCGGCCGTTAGTTAGTCTCACCAATTTTAACATATATTAGAACAAATCTTCAAGAGCACTCTCAGACCTTAGGGAAACCAATAAATTTCACAAAAAAACAAATTTGTATTGTTATATTTGCGGTAAAACAGGGCATATAAAAAATATTTTTTATTTGAACGCGTCATAAAACGTAATTTTTTGGATTAAAAACAATCGAAAGTGTATTTTCGGACTTCTACGAGTTGCCCACAAAACTCAACTTTTCGTCTTTATAGTATGAGAGCCCACTACAAATATCGACCGTCATCTAATAACGAAATGAAATATGCTCCAGAGGCATGTAACAACATTGTACTTTACCAAATTGCACCTGTACCAATCTCTATCCTGAGCAAAGTGGTTAAAAAAAAATATTTTATATTTTATATTGTGAACCTAGCTTTTAAACCTGAATTATTAATATTTTTACCTACCTTTCAAACCATGTTTATGTGTGAAAGGAAGAAGGATGGCATTGTATAGACCACTTGCAGAGATAGTCAATATTAATTATAAACTCTTGTTAGGCAATTCTTTTAAACCATAATCATAGTAGTTTTTTTGTCTTTTTTTTTTTTTGGAGTGAGGGTAGCCATATGTGAATAGTAGGGATTAAGTGTAAGGGGTTAAAGAAAAGGTCCTTTATTTCGCACAACTCAATTAAATTGACTTGTGAGAAATAAAGGACCTTTTCTTTAACCCCTTACACTTAGTTTTTTGTCGTTTCTATGGCAACCTGTAAAAATGAATCACAACAATATGCATACAAATAAATTTTTAAATCAGCAAAAATTGATTCATATTTTTAATGATTTTTACCTAATAATTGTGGATAGATGTTTTTGTGCCATGTTAAGAGTTATTTTCTGGAAAACTTTAAGGGCAAACAAAATTAGCGCTGTCATGCGTTATGTGATTTTTTAAAGTACAAGGTTTTTACATGCTTTTGGGGTATATTTCATTTCGTTATCAGATGACGGTAAAAATTTACAGTTGGCTCTTGGGCTATTATAACACAAACTACTATTAATCTTAACATTTATTGAGAAAACTAAAACACACTAAAATGAAAATAAAAATATAAAAACGAATCAGAATCAATTTAAAATAAAAATAAGCGTAACAGTATTCTAATATGACAAAAAATATAGGGACCAGGAACAGTAACACATTTGTTTATGTAAAAAAAAACCTAACCTTAATAAATGAAATATGAATGAAGGAACAAATTTAAAACAAACAATCACAAAAACAAAATCTATTTTTACTTTCCTATCTGTATGCAGATAAGGAAAGTATAGGAATCATGATTTTTTGACCTCCAGTTTTCGACGGATTTTTACGTTTTGAGGTCCCCTGAATCCGTTTTGACTATTTTCGCGATGACTTATTTCAAGTAACCTCAGGTGTTCCTCAGGGATCACATCTAGGCCCCTTAC